CGACGTATTTCGCAAAATGTATGTTGCCAACGCACTCCACTAAGCTCGATCTCCCACCAACCCAAACAGCTCCCCAAACCATCACGCTGAAACCACCATACTTCACAGTTGGCTTCAATAAAAAGGTATTCGAGCAAATCCTTTTCTAAGTCCATGACCACTCTGAGAAACCCAAAGCGGTTCTATCTTCTTGTCCAATCAGGCGATGGATGACAATTTATTCTTTTTAAACTGATGAAACATAATATTAGTTTGTTTCTTAAGCACAAAGCAACACAATGGGGCTATCTGTGCTGTGCCCACTACGAGTATAGAAACCCAATCTTAAGTGTTATGTTTGTTTGTTTTTTCTTGTGTTTTTTTAGTTTCGCGCAAAGCTACACGAGGGCTATGTGCGCTAGCCGTCTCTAATTTAGCAGTGTAAGACTAGAGGGAAAGCAGATAGTCGTCACCACCCACCGCCAACGCTTGGGCTTCTCTTTTTACCAACGAATAGTGGGATTGACCGTCATATTATAACGCCCCCACAGCTAAAAGGGGCGAGCATGTTTGGTGTGATGGGGATTCGAACCCGCGACCCTCAGATTGCGAGTCGAGCGCACTAACCACCTGGCCATGCCGGGCCATAAGTGTTATGAGCCCTAAGAATCACCACTGAGCCAGTGGGTTGGGGAGGGTGGGTGTATAAGACAGTTTCAACTAATAGCAATAATAAACAAACATTTTAGTTTTTTTCTATTGTTCCACGGTGGGACAGCAATAAAATAGAGGTTAGCCTCCCCGCGGTGGATACAGCAGATAAAATAGAGGTTAGCCTCCCCGCGGTGGACACAGTAGATAAAATAGAGGTTAGCCTCCCCGCGGTGGATACAGCAGATAAAATAGAGGTTAGCCTCCCCGCGGTGGACACAGCAAATAAAATAGAGGTTAGCCTCCCCGCGGTGGACACAGCAAATAAAATAGAGGTTAGCCTCCCCGCAGTGGATACAGCAGATAGCACAATGTTGCTTTGTTATAAAACAAACATTATTATAATACGCAGTCACACCGATCTTTCTTAATAGGGTTCACTTCCAAGTATTGAAGGGAATCCAGTTGAAGTTTTAATGTATTATACGTGAGAATCACTTATAGTGGATGACTTGTACAAATACTATTTGAAATTTTTATTGTTGTATTTTACGAAGTACATTATACTTAGTTAAAGAATTTATCTTATCCACGAAAATGTTGCTTTTCTCAGTTATTCTTCGAGACAGAAGTGTTGATGGGCGAAATCTGTGTAGTAAAGGTCACAGACCTCATGCTTCGAATTGAACGAGGAAAAGTAGAATCGTTGGAGTCCAAGCGTATTGTTCTCCTTACCACAGAATATGAGTGAGTGAGATATAATAAACATGTCGTGCATACAGTTATGGTATGTACAGAAGTGAACGGTCTATAGTACACACAGTTGACAGGAGTTCCTCGGGAATGAGCAAGAAACCCCTGTAGACCTTCATCCATCAGGAGTGGATTGGGAATTAACAAGAAACCCGATAACCTTTGTTCACCAGAAGTGGACTGGGAATGAGCAAGAAACCCGATAACCTTCGTTCACGTGAAGTGGACTGGGAATGAGCAAAAAACTCAATAAACCTTCGTCCATCAGGAGTGGATTGGAAATGACCAAGAAACCAAATGGACCTTCGTTCATCTGGAGTGGATTGGAAATGACCAAGTAACCAAATGGACCTTCGTTCATCTGGAGTGGATTGGGAATGAGCAAAAACTCAATAGACCTTCGTTCATCTGGAGTGGATTGGAAATGACCAAGAAACCGAATGGACCTTCGTTCATCTGGAGTGGATTGGGAATGAGCAAAAACTCAATAGACCTTCGTTTATCTGGAGTGGATTGGAAATGACCAAGAAACCGAATGGACCTTCGTCCATCAGGAGTGGATTGGAAATGACCAAGTAACCGAATGGACCTTCGTTCATCTGGAGAGGATTAGGAATGAGCAAAAAACTCAATAGACCTTCATTCATCAGGAGCGGATTGGGAATGAAAAAAAGAAACTGGATAGTCCTTCGTCCACCGGGTGTGGATTTGGTATGGGACATTTATAATAACCACAGTATGTCTCTCGTACATACAGATGTGTAATGTACAAAAGTGAACGATCTATGGTAAACATGATATACACAAATGTGAAATGTACAGAAGTGAACGATCTATAGTAAACATGATATACACAAGTGAACGATCTATAGTAAATATGACATACACAAGTGTGAAATGTACACAAGTGAACGATCTATAGAAAACATGATATACACAAGTGAACGATCTATAGTAAATATGACATACACAAGTGTGAAATGTACACAAGTGAACGATCTATAGTAAATATGATATACACAAGTGAACGATCTATAATAAACATGATATACACAAGTGTGAAATGTACACAAGTGAACGATCTATAGTAAACATGATATACACAAGTGTGAAATGTACACTAGTGAACGATCTATAGTGAACATGATATACACAAGTGTGAAATGTACACTAGTGAACGATCTATAGCAAACATGATATACACAAGTGAACGATCTATAGCAAACATGATATACACAAGTGAACGATCTATAGCAAACATGACATACACAAGTGAACGATCTATAGTAAG